CCACCTACTGTGAATGGGAACTGGTAACTTTTTACCATATTTGTATTCATTTGTAATATACCATATAAATCAAATCTACACAAGGAAATCAAGAGAACTAGAAATGGTAAATAAGGAGGCTAATATAAATAGAAAAACTAGAAATATAGTTTTTCTCTTCTTACCTTCTTTAAATAAGATTACATATAAAACAATATAACACTATTATTGGGTTTGTAATATAACGGATTAAAAAAGTAATAACACAAAAAAAGATGGGAATGGAGCTATGTTGGAGCAGCTTCTCTATCTTACTGGAATTAAGTTAGTATAAATCTGAAGCAGAAGTTCTGAAATCTGAAGTTCTCAAAAAATGTATATTGTAATCCCTAGAACAACCTCTAAGAATATAATAAAAAAAGTTTAAGATCATCAAAGGAATTAATGGCATACTAGAAAATATCCACAATACAAAAGAAAAAAGGGAAGAAGAATAAAAAAAAGACGTAAGCTACAGAAGACGAATAGCAAAATGACAGGTGTGGGTTGACTCAGTGCTCTGGCCCACCTAGCAAGGTCGCCATTGGAAGCTGCATTTTATTCCTGGAAACCCGTGCACCAGGGTCACAGCGTTGACCTGTGGCTGAGGAGGGGCCTCACCGTAGCTTCTGGCTCTCAGCCATGCTTTGTGTTTGTGTTTGCGTGCCTCATACCACCTTAGTTCCCTCAGAGTTTCATTAATGTGAAGTCTAGTGTTATCTGAGACCCCAGCAGCTGTGTAAATTATGGGCATTCACTCAGTCCTAGGAACACTTGTCTCTCTCCTCCCTCCCTCCCTCTCTCTCTCTCTCTCTCTCTCTCTCTCTCTCTCTCTCTCTGTAACAATTCCTTCCTGGCATTCTCAAATCCCATTTTATCCCTCACTGACTTGTTCTTTTAAATCACAAAACTCATTTAGAAAGGACCTAATGTTTAGAGTCAGGATTTGGAGTCAGAAGTGAGTCACTGAGGTGGCTTCTTAGTCCAGGTGGCCTGCCTGAGTCTCAATTTCTCACCTACTAGCTTTGTGGCTTCCCACGGTCAACTGACGTTTCCAAGCCTCAGTTTCCCACCTGTAAAGTGGGTGCAGACTCTCCTCTTAAGGCTCCAGTGTAGGGAGAAGGTCTTCAGTCCCTCAGCACTTAATTGATGCAAGTTGTTGACACTGGCAGGCAACTGGGGACTCACTATGGGCCTGGCACCTTCCATTAACTACTGCGTCTAATCATCAGAACCGCCCTGAGTGAGGGGTACTATTAACCCCATTTTACAGACGTGCAAACCGAGGTCGAGTGATCGTTCCCACCTCACTCCTGGTTCCTTGGACACTTTTCGTCACTGCACGTGTTTCCTTCCATGAAGCGGGGAATAATAAAGGCACCTACGTCCTCCGCAGCCCGCAGTCAGACTAGCGGGCACGTATCCTGTCATCAACATGGCTCTTAAAACACAGTGGGCCAGGCGGGGACCC